GAGTTGTTCTCAGGAGTTAGTAGCTGATCCTTGTTAGCAGTTACCTGGGAAACTTGAAGATCCGTTCCCTTGGATGACAGTGTGGTGTTGTGAGTCCCTATGACCTGTGTGAGTCTTTTCACAATGTCAGAATGTCTTGAGGCAAGCACACGCTCTTTTCCTCTCATCTTAATTGCTAATACCCATTCCCAGACAACACATTCCATATCACAAGGTGACTATAGTCATTTGCATGGATAGATGTAGGGTACAGAGGTCATAGAGTTCACAGAGGCCCTCCTGGAGGCAGAGGCAGACACCTGGCAGACAGATGCAGAGTCCCTGCAGGTAGTTACATGAGCTATTAAAGAACCTGTTTGGGGAGCTGCTGATTCCAGCTGCAGCGATACAGCTTGGGCAAGGTGCAGGGCCTTGACGGTGAAGAGTAAGATTAGATCTAGACAGACAGACTGCAGTTCAAGTGGGCCAAAACAAGCAGTGAGGACCAAGCTGAACCAAAGCCTCATGGACATTTGATGTACAAGCAAAGTATTATATATGCATGAAGATGGCAAGTCAGGTTGATGGGGCCCTGGGCAGGAGAGTATTAAGTGTCCTTCTTGTATGGGGTCCAAGTGAGGATATTGTACTCCTGTCAGTCTGGCACATTTGACAAGGCCTAGGCTTGTCTAATATGTCTTCAATATGCCCACATGTTCCCAGTCGACCTTGATGAGTTTATAGGTGGTACTTCTTACTTTTAGAGATATGTGTTGTATCAGTTTATGCCTCATGGGTTCTGCTGTACAAGTGATGGTGTCTAGACACCAATGCAATGCAGAGTCACCCTCCCTCTGCACTCACTCTCAGAGTGCAGCAAAATGTTGCTTCTGAAATGGAGTCTTCTGGGGCAGGGCACAGCCTGAAAGCTACTGTTCCCCACACTGTGCAGTAACTTAGAGTCCAACCCAGCCTGCTCTGCATATGTAGCCTCTGGGTGTATCTCCCTCTGACCTGATCAGAGAGATTCCCTCACTGTGACAGCTAATGCTTCCTCTAGACATCAGGACTGGTCCAACTGGGCAAGTAGTCTGCTCTGAGGTTAAGACCAGTCACGGTTGAAAGGTAGGCACACCTAGGTATCCCTTTCTTCACAGGTAGTTAACCTACTTATGCCCTGCTACTTACTCGTTGTGTGTCTTCTAAGGTGACAGGAAGCACCAGGTGTCCTCTAAGGACCTGCCAAACTGCATAATTCATTCAAAAGAGCTAACCTGGCCAGGCTCCTGGTTTTGTCCCCACAAGAGAATGCACTGGATCTAATGTAAACCAGAAAACCAGAACAAAACCCTTGCTTTCCAGACCCCAGCTCCTCTGAGAATCGTTTCATACCATCAGTGTTGCCTGCAACATGCATGAATCTTGAAAAATTCTGCTAAGTGAAAAGCCAGTCACAAAGGTTCACCAAAAAGTTTATCCCTTCTGTCTAAAATGGCAATAATAGACAAATCTGTAGAAACAGAGAGTGTATCAAGGTATCCTAGGGCAAAAGAGGTGGAGAACAAGGGGGTGATGATGGAGTGACACTAAAAGGTATGTTTCTCTGGGGGATAATTAAAATGTTCTAAGACTAATAGGTGGTCGTAGTTACACAACTCCGTGAATATATTAAAAACCATTGGTTGTGTTATCTTAGTAACGTTGTTTCCAAAAGAAAAAAATTCTTTAAAAGTAGTATTTTACCATAACAACCAATTTTATGTTCACAGTAATACTTAGCAATTAATCAAATGAGCCAAATGTTACTAAAAAACAAAACTCTCCAAGTCCTTTTTGAATAATCAAATGGCACTTGCTTTCTTAAACGTTACTTAGGAGGCTGGGACTATAGGCCAGTTGTAGAGTGCCTGTTTTGCAACTCACAGCACCACACACTTAAACATATATGATATATATCATATATATCATATATTATATATATAAAACATATATGCATATATGTTTATAATGTGGTAGCATACTTTGTTAGCCTGAAAAATAATTCATTCAAGCACATAGAAACTGGGAATAACACATCAGCCTTGAATTCTCATGGATTATCATGGGCCTTAGTTGTTTCATTCATTGTAACCTCTAACAATCTTTCTGATGTTGACCTGGGACAATTGTATCCACAGTTCCTCAGGTGACACATCAGCCATCTGATGTAGACATCCAACACCAACATTATGTCACCCACTAGTGTTCATATTTGACAACACAACTAATGTCTGTGCACTTTTCTTACTTGGTCACATTGGCAGCATGTGACTCGTATTGTGAGTGTGAAAGGTGGAAACAAGGGACTGTGAAGGCGAACAGTGAGAAGTGGCTCAGTTCTCAAGGGGGACAGGAGCTGCCATATCATCGGGTACACAGGGCTGCCAGAGGAGACTCCCTGCCTGCCTATTTACTGTATACAGGACACCAGCCCTGCTAGCATTATTTTCTGATGAACAATGGGCTCAGGCAGAAGGATTGGTGTGCCATTACTTATAGCAACTGCCTTAGATAAATATGACTGTTCAGTTAATATCGAAGAAAATAAAATGATGATTGGGATGCACCAGTAGAACCACATAAGCAACTGCTACTAACTAGAATAGTTATTGCTATAGCAAGTTGGCAGATTAACAGAAGGGATTTAATCTACTCCGCCCACCAGGAAATTAACCGGTATCCATATAGACATGCCCAGAGGTGTGGCGTCTATGTTATTCTAAATCTAATCACACCATCCTACTAAGTGTGGCTGGTATCTCAGCATACTTTCTGTGTACAGTTCTCTGCAATGGCATTAAGAATCTTTTCATCATCTTTCCTCATTTTAATTCCCTCTCACTGAGAAATGAACAGAGAAACAGAACTAGTTGCTTACAGGCTTTCCAAAGCAAAACATTCTATTTTATTTGTTTTATGTTCAGTGTGCCTGCTTTAGTGCTTAGCACACTGTATATGCTAAATATATTCTGGCTGGAGTCATCGATAAATGAGTGATTGAAAACAAACCATTCCCTTTCTTCTGCACCTGCTCCAGAAGGATGATTATTATTATTATATGTTGTTGTTGTTGTTGTTGTTTTGAGATAGTCTTCCTCTGTGTAGCCCTGGCTGTCCTGGAACTCAATCTGTAGACCAGGCTGGTCTTGAACTTAGAGACCTGCCTACCCTTGCTGTCCAAGTGCTGGGATTAAAGGTGTGTGCCACTACAAACTAGCTCAGAATTTTTTTTTTTTGGGGGGGGGGTCAAGACAGGGTTTCTCTGTGTAACAGTCCTGACTGTCCTGGAACTCACTTTTTAGACTAGGCTGTCTTCGAACTCACTGAGATCCACCTGCTACTGCCTCCTGGGTGCTCGGATTAAAGGTGTGTGATACCACAGACTATTCCAGAATTATTTTTACATTTCCTGCTGAGATGCTGGAGAAATGGCTCTGCCATGAAAAATACTACAGTTGGGTTCCAGCACCCACTGTGGGCAGCACAATCATTTGTAAGTTCCAGGGGAGCCGCTGCCCTCTTCTGGCCTCCACAGGCATGTGCACCTACTAACCCCCAGACATACACACATAAAATTTTTTTCTAATCTTTTAAAAACATGAAGACTTTAAAATAAGAAAGTAAAATAAAATGCCTGGAAATTTTGAGTCCAACGGTGGAGTCATCATTTGCCTGATAAAGGAAACTAAGGGAAAGCCATTGTTATTAAAATCCCAGCCCCTGCTCCACACCAGCTCACCCTCCAGAGACCTCCACCTGCATCTAAAGCACTAATGTTTTCCTAGGCTGAAGGCTGAGCAAAGTCATCTCTGCTGAATGATGGAAAGAAATGGTTTTCTTCATGGCTCTTCTATTTTGAAAAATGAGCCTCCCATGACCTGTTGTCACAAAAGGTCTATGAAAATGTCATGAGAAAATAAACAGTAAATTACCAGTAGCTCAACCTCCACAACCATGATTGAAACTAAGAAAGATTCCCGAGGCCAAGAGCGGGGAAGGTCCTGTTTCGTCCACTTTCCCACTTTCACATACCAATAAACCATGCGCTTCTTTATAGAATAGTTTGAGCCTGGCGTTGGTGGCACACGCCTTTAGTACTTGCACTCAGAAGGTATAGGTAGGCAGATTTCTGTGAGTTCAAGGCCAGGCTGGTCTACAAGGTGAGTTACAGGACAGCTTCCAAAGCCACAGAGAAACCGTCTCCAAAAAAAAAAAAAGTTTGATCTTATCTAAAGGCATGTGTGTCTTTGGCATGTGTTTGGGTGTGTGGCCATGAACATGAAGATGAAGAAACAAACAAAGCAGAAAGAAGGCTGCTCTTGATGTTACTTTTTAACCAGATCTTTCAGAGCTCAGGGAGTCTGACCCACCACTCAACACAGTACGAAGAGTGTCACTGTAGTTGGGTGTTCTTTAATTAATCAACAGAACATCTATTCTTTCTTTCCATCCAGCAATATTAGGCTGTGTATTCATTTGCCAAACTGTTTCAGAGACCCTTGTTCATTCCACTCAAGCTCTCTATTTTTAGGGGGGAAAGGCAACATAACTCATTCCTGGCACCAGATGTTGCAGTGCTGGATTTCAGTTTCTGTTCTATAATTCCTACCATGTAAAGCCAATGCCTTGGCCTGGGAAGTACTTGACTGCTGTATCATACGGCTGACTACACTGTTGCCTCGTATCTTGTCTTGAGAATGGGTGGGGTCTTAAGTGCAAGCTCTAAAATGAGCTTTGAGAAAGAGCATGTACCATCCAGGCCTTCCACACCTGTGCAGCAGCTGCTTCAAGTCTCCCATGACTACCACAACCTGTTTAGATGGTGCCTCCTACAGCAAGCAGGATCCCATGGTTAAGACTGGTTGCCATCACTCTGGATGCTGGTTGGCTCCATTGACTCTGTCCTGACCACCCTTGAGCAAACAATCGTGTCTCTGGTCGGGCAACATTAGCTTCCTGGCTGTCTTTGCTTTAACATGATGCTGTTTCTTCACCTTCTGCTTTGTCCTTCGCAGGGTATATCCCCAGCTATTTAGACAAGGATGAACTGTGTGTAGTGTGTGGAGACAAAGCCACAGGGTACCACTACCGCTGCATCACCTGTGAAGGCTGCAAGGTAAGTGCCTGGGTCCCCAGCACTGGCCATGGTGCAGTACCAGTCCTCTCCCAGAGGGTCACTAGAACTCACTATTAAAAACCAAAATCCAACAACACTCATGGACTCTGGCCATCAAGGACTCCATTGGTCCTCTTCATCTCTGATATGCTCAAGGTCTGAAATTCCCTTTTCCTAAGTCATGAGTAACTAAATGAAGTTTTGCAATGGGGTAGTGTTTTATTTGTTGTGTTTTTAAACAGAAAGACAACAAAAAGAAAATAAATTAGTAACACTTACTTGAGTCTTAAAGCATATTTTCAATATATAATCAACCCCATGTCTCACTGTTTCTCCTCTGATTTTATGTGCAATGTCCGAGAAGACTGAGTTTACCCTCTGCAGCCTTTGCTGCTGTGGATCTACATGAATATGCCACTTCCAAGGGTTCCATTAGGCAGAATCTTTGAAGCCACTTAGACTCAATTATGTTCCTGCAGTTATTCAAAGTGGCTTTCCACAGAGCCTGTAATAAATGGAGTCAGGTTGCCATCAGGCAATTTTGTGCTCTGCAAACCTTTCTTCAGAAGAGTCTTGACAAAAACATACTGGTGCATTCACTTCTCCAGAGGGAGCTTACATCTGCCTACTTAGAATCTTCGTCAGTAAAATGAAGATAAGCACTATGGAAACGACCGTTTGGTTCATCAGCCTAGGTTAAAAAATAAACATAACGAGGCTTAACCCAGTGTGGTACCTATGCAGCTGATGCTGTGTAAATGGGATGTCTTAAAAACCAAGAAAAGACTTTCTATTTCCTGTAAAGTTTACAGTTAAACTTGGACTGGAGTTAGAAAAAAAGACTCTTTCCCCCTTCCCTCCCCTTCCCTTCCCTTCTCCTCCCCCTCTCCTCCCCTCCCTTCCCCTCCCTTCCCTTTCCTCCCCTCCCCCTCCCCTTCCCTCTCCTCACTTTCCCTCCCCTCCCCTCCCCTTCCCTCCCCTTCCCTCTCCTCCCCTTCCCTCCCCTCCCCTTCCCTCTCCTCCCCTTCCCTTCCCTTTCCTCCCCTCCTCTTCCCTCCCTTCCCCTCCCTTCCCTTTCCTCCCCTCCCCTCCCCTTCCCTCTCCTCACTTTCCCTCCCCTTCCCTCCCCTCCCCTTCCCTCCCTTCCCTCTCCCTCCCCTTCCCTCCCCCTCCCCTTCCCTCTCCCTCCCCTTCCCTCCCCTTCCCTCTCCTCCCCTTCCCTCCCCTCCCCCTCTCCTCCCCTTCCCTCCCCCCTTCCCTCCCTCTCCTCACCTTCCCTCCCCCTTCCCCCCTCCCCCTTCCCTTCCTTTTCCTTCCCTTCTCTCCCCTCCCCTTCCCTTCTTTTCCTCCCCTTCCCTTCCCTCCCCATTCCCTTCCCTTTCCTCCCCTTCCCCTTCCCTTTCCTCCTCTTCCCTTCCCTCCCCTCCCCTTCCCTTCCTTTCCCTTTCCTTCCCTTCTCTGCCCATTCCCTTCCAATTTTTTTTCCCTCCACACTCTCTCTGGCTTCCTTCATGCTCTTGCCTTTAAACCCCCTAGAATTAACAGGTTAGTTCCATTCACACCACAGTGGGCTCCACTTCCCCAGTGGGAGATTTTCCATGCCGGTCCCCTATTTTTTACACATAACATTAGGAAGCACCATGACACTGTCCCATCTCTACAAAAGCAGCAACCACTGTCCTTTCTGGGGTCCTGGGGCCACATCTGCCACACCATCAGTTGGAATGTGTGTGAAGCAAGGGACCCTGCTTCCCCAAGATCCTTTTGATACAGAACTTGTAGATGAGGAGACTGGGCTAAAGGTTGTGTTGCTTCTATGAAAGTAAGGTCTTATGGGGTTTAAAAGCTAATCCCAAGCCCTGGCTGTGGACTAATTAGGAGATTTGCAGTTGCAGACCTGCTCTTCAAAGCATGGTTTCATTGCTTCATCTGAAAAGAATAAGGCTAACCCGGTCTGATGCTTCGGGTCTGTGATGCCAGCTACTTAAGAGACTGTCTCAGGAACACAGCAAGTTCTAGTCTATCCTGGGCTACTGAATGAGTTGGAGGCTAGCCTGGGCAACTTAGACCCTGTCTCAAAAATAAAAAAGTAAAAAGTACTAAGCCAGGTGATGGTACATGCCATTCATCCCAACAGAGGCAAGGAATCTTGAGTTCAAGGACAGCCTGGACTACAAGGCAAGTTTCAGGACAGCCAGGGCTACACCAAGAAACCCTGCTGTGAAAAACAGTCAAACAAAAACTGTCCTGTGGATAGTGTATAGTAGCAGAGTACCATTATGTCCAATTAATCGCTGGTGCTGGGGAAAAGGAAGCAATAAGATTATGTGGCTTTAGGTTCATTCTCTTACTTCCAAGATGAGTTGAAACTAGTAATGGAAACTAGCCTTTGTCTTGTCTTGTTTTTTTCTGAATTAGCCCTGATACATAAAGCTTCACCTTCCTGGTTACAATAATCACAATGCTTTTACAACAATATCATAAAAAACAAATTTAAATTGAGAGAAACTGTAATGGATGTGCCTATGACAACTTCCCTAACAAGGGGAGAGGCGAGCTTTCACCCCTGACCCTCCCTCACTAATGTCAACTAACCTCGGCCCAAGACTACTAGATGTTTAGAGACCTGATTCAGCTGAGATTTAAAGAAGAATAAGGAGGAGGAGGAGGAGAAGAAGCGCCATATAGGGGCTAAAGAGATGGCTAGATGGTTAAGAGCAATTCATGCTCTATCAGAGGACCTGAGTCCCCAGGACCCATATCAGACATCTCACAACTACCCATAACTCCAGCTTCAGGGATCCAAAGACCTCTCATGGCCTCTGAAACCACCTGTACATGGGAGTTACACACAATTTAAAATAAATCTTTAAAAACATAACAAGCATGACATAGCATGACCTTGGCTCCCACCTCTGTGCCTGTGTACCAGATCAGATCCTGTTTGTAGGTTGTTCCCCATCACAGACCCAGAAAAGGAACCTAGGAGGAACAAGAAATTCTCAAGATCTCCTAATATGATGAAGAAGCAATTTGGGAAAGATTGAAGAGTTTTCAAATGTAACACCATCTTCAAGAATATCTGGAGATGAAAAGATCACACCTCACAATTTCTTCAAACTTACAGTGTATACAGACAGACTGCACTGTCCTAGCAAGAGAAAGATTTTGGAATTTTCAACTTCCATGACGTGCCACTTTGCATTTCATAGAAGGAAAGTCGATGTTGCGCCTCCCCCCCCCCCGCCACAGACTTGGTTTTCAAAGACACACCTAAACACAACAGTTCCTTCTAAATACTAACCTGAGGTGGTACTGTAAGACCCGTGGAGGATGTGGGCCTCAGGAAAGGCGCCCCCCACAAATCACTCACGAGAAGCGGTCTTGATGCAAAAGCATGAGGTATTTTATATTCCAGTGCACTGGGGTTCGCAGCCACACTCCACGTGGAAGTTGGAGACTGGGAACCCTGGGTACAGGGTTTAGACAGCTTTTATATGGTTACAACAAAGCCCATGCATCATAAACCAATCATCTCATAGCATCCTGTGCAGACCAATTAATTTGAACTATCCAAGCCCACACTTAGCTCAGGAAGTCTGCTTTCGCTAGGGCTTCTGGGTAGTGTAACAAGGTTCATTTCTTGTTCATACACTCACAGGTGCTGTTGTAAAACCGCCCTGTCGTAAACAGTCAAGAATGTGACCTTTTTTCTTACTCCCCTGGGGTCAGTGGAGAGTTTGGCTAAATTTTTCCATCCTTACAGTACTCCAGTTTCATGCTATTAGTGTGATTAAAAACTCCAACAAAAAGCAAATTATGGGGAGGAAGGGATTTATTTGACTTACACTTGCAGATCACAGATCATTTTTGAAAGAGTCAGGGCTAAGGGCCAGAACAATTGATCTCATTCTTAGGTAGACACAAATACAACCTGTTTTCTTGGCTCTTTCTCATTTAGGGTTTCTTTAGAAGAACCATTCAGAAAAGTCTCCATCCATCTTATTCCTGTAAATATGAAGGAAAATGCGTCATAGACAAAGTCACTCGCAACCAGTGCCAGGAATGTCGCTTTAAGAAATGCATCTATGTTGGCATGGCAACAGACTGTAAGTAGATGCTCTTCATTTGCTTGATATTGAGGAGTGTTCACTGGGGGGGGGGGGAAGGTTTAGTTCAATATCAACAAAGAAAGCAGGAACCTTTGTGGACACAGTCTGACTATCATTCATACCCCTCCCTGCCTGCCTTGCTGTAGGGACCCATTGGTTTTCTTCTTCCCTACTTATCAATTCCCAACTTCCAAAGCATCCAGATAATGTGGGGAGGGGTGGCTAAGTCATCCCTGTGTGTGTTTGAAGGGTAGCCTATTAGCCACCCTGTTTCAATCTACAAACAAGAAGACTTGTCTATGTAGTATAATCACTTCTCACATGCAGGCTTCATGTGTGGAGAAGTTTACAGACCAGTTCTTGGTTTTTCAAAAACAAATAAATTAATTTGGTTGATGTTTTTGGAGATGTGGTACTGGCAGAAAACATCAAGTCAAAGAATTTTTTAAGAATTCAAAGTTGAATATTTCCACATGAATCATCCACTGGTGGTTGCTTAATGTATTTTTAGTCCCAAAAATTCTTTTAGCTAAAGCTGCACACCCAGTTTTCTACATGCCATAGCACAGACAGTGAGTTTAGGCCTGGGTTGCCCCTCCCAACCCTCGACCAGGGATTTACACCAGTCACTTTAACTGTCATAAAACAAAGAACTGTGCCATCCCAAATATACAGCCTCCCCTCTGCCAGGAACCAGTGAGAATGATTTCCACAGCCATCACGAGCTTAAAAGAAAAGGAAAGAAAGGAAGGAAGGAAGGAAGGAAAGAAGGAAGGAAGGAAGGAACACCTCTCACACATACATACACTAGATAAATTAAACAAATCATTAGACAACAAGAAAAAAGGAAGAAGTGATGGAGAGAGCAAAGGAAGACAGGAAGGGCAGACAGATGGACGGACAGACAGACAGAAACCTCTGTAGAAGTCCCAGACCTACCACTGTCTAGGTATATGGCCCCAGAGTTAAGCTTCATGCTTGTTGCTTGAGAAATCACCACCGACCTCACAGAGCCAGGTCCAGGATTCAGTATGTAGCTCATGTCAAATACAATAGTGTGACAAGCCTTTGGGCAGTAGAGCTGAGGCATTGTGGGCCTTTAGAAAGTAGACCAAAGTTACTTTGCAGGGCTGCTCCATATTTCCCACATTATCAGACACTTGTGTGACATCAGTGTTCAATCCAGATGAAATCATCCAGGAGCGCTTGTGAGTTAGCTGGACACCTTGCTTCTTCTTCTTCTTCTTGCTATGTCTGCCCTTTACATGGCCCAAGGACACTCAGTTGTAGGAACTGAAGGCATGTGTCCTGGGTCTTCCGCCAGCTTTACCATGAACTTTATGTGTGACTTTAGTCAAGTCACAGTCTCTGGAAACATTCTCTCCTCTGTGAAAAGAACAGCATGGCCTAGATACTGCCCCGGGGTCATCTAAAACCTGAGTCTTGGAGATGGGCAGATGGCTCAGGGTAAAGCACTTGCTGGGAAAGCAAGAAGCAAGCCCTGAGTCTAACCACCAGCATCCACATAAAAGCTGGTCATGGCCACATGTGCCTGTAACCCCAGTGTTGGTGGTAGAGACAGGTAGATTTGGGGGACTCCATTATCCAGGAGCCTCATTGGTCAGGAGCCTCACCTAACTACAAGCTTCAGGTTCAGTGAGAGACCCTGTCTCAAAAAAATGTGAAGAGTGATTGAGCAAAATACCTAACATACTTCTCTGGCCTCTGCATGTGTATAGAGTGGATCACTACCCCCCCACACACACACACACACGCGCACGCACACACGCGCACACACGTGCACACATTTTTAGGTAGAAAAACAAGAGGTAATGTACTACACAAGGTACTTACCACACAAGCCTATTGATATTCAGAACCTACAGGGTCAAAGAAGAATACCAAGTCCAAAGAGTTATCCTCTGACCTTTACAAATATGCCACAGCATATATACACCTCCCCCACCCCCACATACACACATACGAATAATAATAATCTTTAAGTAAAATAAAAATAAAGCCTGAACCTCTCAGTCTCACTACAAGTCTAGTGAAACAGTCTCGTTTGGAAACTGACCACAGGAAGCTAGGTTTCCTGTTCCTTTTCTGCGCAAATGGTAAAGCTTATGATTATATTCACTGAACACTTACACTTCGTTGCCATAGTGCAACCTTGTGCATGGGTATTTTTAATGGCATCTAATAAAGGAGACATGAAAGCTCAGAGAGCCTAAGAAACTTGCTTAGAAGTCACACAGCTAGAAAGAGGTAGTGTCAGGGTTCAAACCCAAGTCTTTCTAGATTCCGAGCCAAGCCTCTTCATCTACTATCAAGGGAAGATGAGGTACAAAGTCTTGTGAGACTCAAAAGACTTCCTGCCCCACCAAGAGTCCTTTCCCGTCCTGCTCCAGCCAACTTCCTTAATGAAAAGTACAGCCCCAGGAATGAATGCAGATGGCAGCTCAATTGATTTGCCAAATAGTGTGGACTGTAAGTTTCTGTGCTTCAGTCTGATTTTAGGGCCTCTGTCTTCTGTAGAAGCTGAATGCCTGGTGCCCAGGTTCCTTCAAAGCTCTATTTTGTGGAAAGTTGGGCTGGGCACTGGGACCTTGACCCTGGGCTCACACTGGGCAGGGTTAATCAGAGACAGCTTTCCCTTTCATGGGAGTCACCTAAGACCATTGGAAAACACACATGTTCACATTATGATTCATAACAGTAGCAAAATTGCAGTTATGCAATAGCAACAAAATAATTTCGTGGTTGGAGGTCATCACAACGCGAGGGACTGTATTAAAGGGCCACAGTATTAGGGAGGCAGAGCCCCACCCGCTCTAAGCCGTCAAGCCCAGGGCCCCTGGGGCTCACGACCTACAGTCTGCTCCAAGCCCTAAGGTACCTTCTGTCCCTCTCACCTTTCTCCCTCCCAGTGGTGCTGGATGACAGCAAGAGGCTAGCCAAGCGGAAGCTGATAGAGGAGAACCGTGAGAAGAGGCGGCGGGAAGAGCTGCAGAAATCAATTGGGCACAAACCAGAGCCCACAGATGAGGAATGGGAGCTCATCAAGACTGTCACTGAGGCCCATGTGGCCACCAATGCCCAGGGCAGCCACTGGAAGCAGAAGCGGAAATTTCTGGTAAGCTTCCTTGCCAGGCTCGCTACCCACGTATGCTCCCATTTTCTGCCACCATTTAGAGTCCTCCGCCCCTGCTGTTGTTAGTGCCCCATTTTCCTGACGGTGCAGCTCAGAGAGGCGAGGAGCTGTAACTGCAGTCATGCCAGCCTGGGTGCAGAAGCTACTGGAACACAATGGTCCTTCCCTGGAGCCCAGAGCAGCTTCTCAGGCCTCTGACCTCTGGGTGCTTTTCTGTTAACAAGGCAGGGCTGGGACCTCTCCTCAGAAAATCCTGATACTTGCTGGCCTACCCATCATCCTCCTGCTTCTGCCCAGATTCTCAGGGTACATACCTTCCAGGCTCCTTCCACATCAAGCCCCCTTCAGCAGACTCTCTAGAAGAAGGGCCCAGACCTCAGATCTCAGCTTTTGTTGTTGTTATTGTTGTTTGGTTTTGAGACTGTATTTTTCTCATGAATTATTGTTGTTGTTGCTATTATTTTACATCCAGACCACAGTTCCCCCCCTCCCCTCCCCACAGTCCCTCCCCATGAGCTAAGTTTTTATCTGCCGAAGTCGATATGCTTGTCTAGGAATAAAAGCTTGGGTCCAGGAGCCAGGGAGTGAGTGTAGTGGTGGGGAAATATGGACATAAGCCAGATCTTTTAGGGTGTGTGGGTGCTTGTTGGATTTTAGAATGAAAGTCCTTGGCAGCCGTTTCTCATCCAGACTTCCCAGTACTCCAAGGTTGCTGGAGCTACTATCCCCATTTTACAGACACATAAACCAAGCCCGAAGTCATACATGGATGGTAAGTGGCTAAAGCAGGCCCCAAAGTCAACAGGTCCTCTGGTCCAAGTCACCCCACCCACCCCATCAAACAGACCACCTGCTCTAACCAGTGTCCAGCAGAGACTGGTTCTGCTCTCAGTGTAAGACATAAAGGCTTCTGTGGGTACCTTGCTGGCATCCAGGCCTGTGGATATCTTACATCCTTCTTACATCCCTCTAAACAAGAAGAAGTCACGGAGGAATTACCTGTGCACTGCAACGGCAGCATTATGGTGCAGTGGTTTTAGGCTTGCAATTATAGCCAATGCTATGCCAAGGCAGGAAGATTGCAAGTTCAAGGCCTTTTTGAACTACAAGCCCAGGTTAAGCAACTTAATAAGATCCCATCTCAAAATGATCTCTCATGGAAGGGTTCACCCTCCCTGGGGAGTGGATGGGGGATAGGATGGGGGGCGAGTTGGGGGGGCATGGGAGGATGGGAGGGAGAGGGAACTGGGATTGATATGTAAAATAAGAAAAAATATTAAATAATAATAATACTGAAAAGTAAAAACAAAGAAAGAGCCCGGACACAGCTCAGTGGGAGAGCACTTGCCCAGCCTGCATGAGATCCTGGGTCCATCCCCAGGACCACAGAAAAACAGTCATAAAAGGAATTTGGAGGGGTATGGGGGATATGTATAATCTAGAAAAGTTACCAAACACTCAAGTGATGCTCATGATACGCCAGATTCGAGCCTAAACCTCCGAGAGCCCTGCTCTTCAGACCCTATCCTACCCTATAGGCAGAGAAAGAACACCTCCGTTTACAGAGAGAGGTGTATGGGAGGCTTATAGGTGCTCCCACAGCTAGATTGTGCTAGAACATGGGGAAGCACGTGCAGCCAGTGCCAGGTCTGTCAGGACTCCTCCTGCCTACCACCCACGTAGGCTTAAAAGAGGTCTTGGAGGACAGCACCCCTGGTTCTTCACCTTTGACCCCACCCCTGATGGGCCTGTCTGGAAATCCAATTGCACTAATTCTGGATCCGCAGGCTAATTCCAGACCATAGCTAGACCATACCAGTGCAGAGACCAGCATGCCCACAGATCTAAGTTCATCTAAGTCTACCTGTGCCTTACATGTGTGCGCCACCTCTAGACCGGGTGCCGCATTCTCATTTCAAGTAGCCCACAGGGAGGGGAATTCAAGCTGAATTCTGACTCAGATGGAGGAGTCAGGGGCCATTCTGGACCTCTGGGAAATTTTATGCTTTTTTTTTATTTTTTAACCCTTAGGTGGGCATGAATCTAACTAAGCCTCTTTCTGTCATCACCAAAGTGTTTCTTTTCAGAGTCTAAGGGTTTATCCTCTTATGTTATGTATATGCATGTGTGTCAGTGTGGAGATATGTATATGTGTATGTATGTGTGTCTGTCTGGAGATATGTATATGTGTGTGTATGTATGTATGTATATGTGGGGATATGTGTATGTGTATGTATGTGTGTCTGTGTGGGGAAAAGTATATGTATGTACTTGTGTTTCCATGTATATGTGTATGTGTGTACATACGTGTCTGTGCAGGGATATGTGTCTGTGTGTACGTGTGTCTGTGTGGGGATATGTGTCTGTGGTGCATGTGTGTATGTGTGGGCATATGTGTATGCATGTGTGTATGTGTGGGAATTTGTGTGTCTATGTGTATGGGAGTATGTGTATGTGGGTACAAATGCCCCCAGAGACCAGAAGTGTCAGATCCCTCTGGAGCTGGGTTTGCAGGTGGTTGTGTGGCCCCTAATCTGAGTGTGGGGAACTCCAGTTGGGTCCTTTGCAAGAGCAATATGTACTCTTTACCTGAGCCATCTGTCCAGTCCGTGCTCTAATTTTCTGTTTAATATGTATCCACTGGACTAGCAGCAGGCCTGCCTTCAAGCTCTTGCTCAAGTTCCTGCCTGTCGTTATCATCTGGTGACACTGTTCTCTTCCCTGACTCCCTCCCTGAGAGGCTATGACAAGGAAGTATAAGCTACATAAACCCTTTCCTCTGCCAAGTTGCTTTCAGTGAGGGTGTTTTATCACTGCAATGGAAAGTAAACTAGAACAATATCCATGTTCTTGCCATGGCCAGAAGGACATTCTCAGGTTTACATTTCCTGAACGGCTGCTGTGTCCTCTTTGTGTTTAGAGTACTGTGTACTATTGCAATGGTTTCTATGTGCTGACACTCCACTTTGTTCTGGGAAGGGATGTGGAAGAGGCTTGCGGCCTTGGTAGCACGGGTAGCCATGAGGGATTGAGAACCATATGCTGTCATGGAAGCCGCACTATTCACTTAACTGGGAATGAGTGTCCGATCCCCAGAAGGAAATGCTTCTTCGTTTGCCCCCTGAGGACAGGTTCCATCCAAGTCAGAAAAAGAGATGGTGGGTTGATCTGGTTTTCAGATTTATTTCCATCTGAGAAAATAAGAGTGTTTGGCAAATGAGGAACTTTTTGTAAAATCCATGCCGTTTCATAATGAACCTAAAACCATGCTGTCAAACCCCACCCAAATGCATTTAAATCATGTTTTCAAGCTTTTCTTCAATCTCCGAGGTTACAGAAATGTTTTCAACAGTGAAGACACTGTTGTGAAAAGCAGAAGTGGGCTGAGGAGGGAGCCTTGTTTCTACCCTCTCAGTGGCAGGAAGACGCTGGCACAAAACCCACACCCTCTACAGCCTGCTGTGTACACTGCCGGCGTCATCTAGTGACCCTGTGCCACTATTCTCTCTGGCTCACCGGAGAGGCGCAGCTGCCAGACTTTCTGTACAAGAGTGAAATGTGACCTCTAGAGTCATGGCAGACCTGCCCTGGTCCCCACCCCACCCCCGAGCTGTATCACTGCCTAGTGTCCACATTCTCAACTGTACAGTGTCAGAGGGCCCAGCCTGGAGTGTCAGATACGTCTGTGTGGTCAGATCAGGGGACAAGCACACTGTACCACCCCAAATCATTCTCATTTCAGAAGCGGGCAGGAGAGCCTAGCTAGCTGTGTGGGAAACTGACCTGGAACCAAAGAGCACAGGTCTAACCCTTCCTAATTGGGTGACCTTGAGGAAGCTTATCACACACTCACACACTCGCCTGCAGTTTATTTGCTTTGTGACTATCTCGAATGGTGTAAAACTGATCGCTGTAAACAGTACAGTGGTGCCTGGCATCTCGTGTTCCATGTGTCATCCCCACAGCTCTCCACCCTCACCATCTTATCCCATTCATTCCCAGAAGTATAGGCCTGGAGACACATCCAAGGCCCCAAGGCCCTGAGTGTCAGTGTCCTTCTCCATGGCTTTGTAATGGTGTGAGCAGACACCTGGTGAACAAATAGAGAGTCCCGCTCTGCCAGTGCCAGAGAGCTGCTAAGCTAAGCTGAGATGTCCTTGGCTTCCAGCCAGCCATTGAAACAAGGCCAACTGGCCACATCTCCTACTTACCTCGAACAATGCTAAGGAAACCTCAACGTGGAGAGCCAGCTGGCCGAGTTCTGTGTAACCCCATCCTCCCCAGTGCTGAGCAGAGACAGATGCCTGCACACACACACCTGAACCCCTTTTCTGTACCTCTCTGCCTCCACTGCCCAGAGGAGCCAGGCCACTGTGGGTTTCCAAATCTGCATCCCGCGCATCTTCCTAAGTGCCTCACTTCTGTCTGCTTTACTGCAAGCCCATAGTGCAGCCCACCTCAGCTTCTCCCTTCTGGCTCAGCCCTTCTCCAGCGCAATAGCCAGACATCTCATCGGGCCTCTGTTCTGTTTGTAGGCCTTCATTAAGCGTTGTTTTGTATGTAGATGTTTCTCTTCTCCTGTGGTCCATGGGGTCTAGTGTGATGCGTCTCTGCTGGACTCCTTCCCTCTGGATCGCTCCTCTGTCCTCTGAATTTTGCACTGGTATATTAATTACTCTTCTCATGGTTCTGACAAATCCCTGACAATGAGCAGCTTCAAGGAAGGAAGGCTTACTTTGCCTTCCAGTTTGAGGAGACTAGTTCATTGTGGCCATCCTAGCTAGGGTTACTATTGCTGTGACAAAACACCATGACCAAGGCAACCTGTGGGTGTGAAGGGTTTATTTGAGCTTACACTTACAGGTAATAGTCCATCTCTGAGGGAAGTCAGGGAAGGGACTCACACAGAACAGGAACTTGGAGGCAGGAGCTAATGCAGAGGCCATGGAGGAGTGCTGGTTACTGGCTTTCTCCTCATGGCTTGCTCAGCCTGCTTTCTTATTAGAACCCAGGGATGGCCCCACCCACAATGGGCTGGACCCCTCTTCCATCAATCATTGCCTAGAAAAATGCCTTGCCAAATCTTATGGGGCATTTTCTCAGTTGAGATTCCCTTCTTTCCCAGCTTGTTCCCAAGTTGACATAAAAACTAGCCAGCACAATGGCCAAGAAAGCATGGCGGTAGGAACATAGCTAGAACATAGCTGGTCACCTTGCTATTCTTCAGGTCAAAGGGCTGACCAGTGTGCTTCTCAGCCAGACCTTGGTACCACCCATCTCCTGGCCTTGATGGACTAACACCACCTCCAGGCTTATCACTAACTGCAGTTCTTCCGGGAATTTATTTTTCTTGCCTATCCTCCATCTCCCCTCACTACAATGCAACTTACCTTGTGAGACTTTGTTCACTTCTGCAATTGCAGCATTTAGAGTGAGATCTAGCTCATAGCATTTACTTCAGATGTGCTGGCAAGTAAATATACAAACACGTATACTATCTGCCCCCTTCAGGCAAAGGCCTGATACACAGCAAGCAAAAACACAAAGGCTTAGTCCTTTGATGAGTGCCTAGATAACTATGAAAAATAAGAGTAATAGATATTCAGTGCCAGGATAGTGATACCCACTGGCCACCAGGAGTGTGCAAAGGAGGTCAGCATCATTTCAAATGAGTTTATCTAATAAGATGTCTAGGAGCAGACAGGATTTGAGTTGGGGTTTACAGTAGACAGAGATGAGAGATTCAAGTTGGAGCTTCAGGGTAAGGAAAGATCCAGACAGAAGGCTGCAGTAGAAAAGACAAGGGCAATTTGTGGTAAGGTCAGATGTGCTGAGCCAGGTGGTCCATTTAGGGCACAGAGAACAGTAGTCGGTGTTACTGTTGGAATGCCCTATGTGTAAACTAAGGCAGCTGGCAGGTCCAGAGTCAAAGCAGGTAGATGCAAGCCAGAGTGATCACTGGTGCTGGAGTTTGGTATTGGAGCACAAATGCATACTGGATGTAGGGTCAAACCTATTTCTTGGTACCCAAGGCCCTAGTCATAACAAGGTATCAAGCAGAATCAAGAAGAATCCAGTCCTTATGGGTGAAAACAGCCCAGGGAATTCACATGGGCATTTGCAAATACCAGATGGCAACTCACCTCCTTCCCAGATTCTTTTTCTTTTTCCTTAGTACCTGAGATCCATTATGGAAATAAACCTTGATGCTACAATAGAATGCTTTTTTTCCACTCTGATGTTTGTTTCCCAACAGAAAAGCTGTTCCATCTGGGCTATAGTTTTATTGTTGCCATATTCCCTTGCATAATTGTCCTCCTTCCTTCAAATCACTGGTCCCAGGAAATGATCCCGTTGCTTTTCTACCCACAAATGGATTGAAAACTAGTGGATGGCAGCATTGTCAAGGACACGGCGCTGACCACTTCAGTACAGTCAGATTAGTCCTATCCGATGGAAGTTTGAGGGTCTAGATTCAATTCCCAGCACTCATACAGTGGCTCAAAACCATCTGTAACTCCAGTTCCAGGGGATCCAATACCTTATTTTGGCTTCTGCAGGCACTAGGAATACACATGGTGCAAATATACCTGCAGACAAAAACATCCACAAACATGAAATAAAAATAAATACATTTTAAAAATAAATTAAAATTCCTCATCATAATCATCACCATCTAGAAAGAAACTGAAGAAGATATCTGGCATCAACATCTGACTACTACATGTGCACATATGTACATGATATATACCAATGCATATGTGCACACACACACATATATACAAAAATATATTGTTTTTGTGATGTTCCCACATGTATGTATATATATGTATATGTGTGTATGTATATATATGTGTGTGTGTTTGTGTATGTGTGTGTGTGTGTGTATGTATATATATATATATATATATAATATCAGTACTTTTTAACTCAAGAGTTTCCTACCAAGTTACTATGTGGCCATGCTCATTTTAGCAGCTGGTCTTCTGACAAGCTTGTGAAGAAAACAGGGAGGCAAAAAGCAGCCTCCTGATCAGGGCAAGAAGGGATTATCCAAGCCAACAAGATTCTCAAGATGCAGGGAACAGTGGCCTTCAAAATAGGACAGCTCAGGCAATGACAGAAAGTAGGACAGGAATTGTATCTATCCCATCTGTGTTCAGAAAGTCCACGCCATTGGTTATTACAGAATATTGCCACTCACTATGAAAATATGACATAACCCAGACTCCATCCATTTGCTACCACCAAAACAATCAAATGAAAGACACACATGTAAGGAGTAAGGTTTTTTTCTGCCAGCCGCCGAGTCTTGACCCGCCTCCGAGTCTTGTCCCGCCGCCATGCCAGCCACAAATAACACAAAGAGACTCTGTATATGATATAATCCTGTTGGCCAGTTACTAGTTTCTTATCGGCTAGCTCTATCTTAATTATTAACCCATTTCTATGTATTTCCACGTGGTCTTACCAAGAGCGGAGGAATGGCGGTTCTGTTCTCTCCAGACTCTCCATCTTGACCCCTCCTACTTCCTCTTTCCTCCTCATCTCCTAGTCCCTCCTATCTTCCTTTCCTATTGGCCAACAGTGCTTTATTCATTAACCAGTATGAGAAACATATACAGAATGGCATCTCCCATCACACACACACACACACACACGCAGATGGACCTATAGAAAATTTCAAAGTGCCCACATTTTCAGTGAACACGCACATTCTCAGAACCCTTCCCCAGGCTTGCAAGGACTGGCTGCCCCTGTGACTCCTGAGATACTGGCAGCTTAAGGATAAGAGTGATTTACTGCCCTGTGAGATGTGACCAGTAACAGGATATGAGGGTAAAGATGGCTGCTGCAGTGTCTCAAGCTGAACTTGCTCGTTCATCTTGTTGGCTTGGATAGTCCCTTCTTGCCCTGATCGGGAGGCTGCTTTTGCCTCCCTGTTTTCTTCACAAGCTTGTCAGACCAGCTGCCTGGCATCCTCACAGGGGCCCAGACGACCAGCAACAGCACATCCCATAACCTCCATAGAAAGACATCCATTAGTCCAGCTGGCTCTGGGTCTAGACATGAGGGGCGAGGTCCAGAAAACTGGAGCACAGTGATGTATGGAGCCACAGAGTCCTGCCATGAGCAGGGGGCACTGTTGTGAATACTCCAGAGTACTGCCATGATCAGAGGGCCCTGTTGTTGTGAATACTCCAGAGTCCTGCAGTGAGCAGAGGGCGTTGTTGTGACTACTCCACAAACAGGGAAGGGTAACCCTGTTCCACTCATTGCCACCTACTCCCTACTCCCACCACTTGGTGTCTCGGAGAAACCAAGTCTTGTTTGCATCTATTCAGTGTAACATTAGACAAAGATGGCCCACTGTCCCGCAGCCATCTGTCTCTGAGCTGGAGGATGCTGGATAGCCCATCAGTTTCCCAGCATCAGAAGATGGACAGGTGTTACAGAGCTGTTTCCCTTGCCTGCTCCTGGGCTTTTCTCAAGGCCTAAACTTCTGTGAGCCACATGGGATAGAGAAGTGGAGGCTGGCATCGGTGTGCTGTTAGGCCACACATAAATGGTGGTTATTAGTGTCACAAAGACAAGAGAGGCCAATGGGGGTGGGGGGGAAGCTTGTCCTCATAAAAAGTACAGAGACAGCACAAGATACCTTAGGAGAGGTGACAGAATGCACACGAGGACCTGGGTGGCTTGTGGATGTAGGGAAATCTACCATGCACAAGTCACCTGGGGCCAGCCTGAAACTGATTCTGAACAATCAGGTCCAGGGAGGGCCTGAGAGCATCCGCAAGTGACAGCCACGCCACTGTCCCCTCTGAGAAGCTCAGCCACGGATTGTCTCTGAGCAAGTAAACAACATAGCAGAACTCTGGGGACATTACAGATAGCAAATGTCCCACCGTGCCATAAGGTTTGCCCAGCTTGTACAGCTCAATCTCCCTACAGTGGGCTGAGAGATACTCCGCCTCAGTGATTAGCTGAAAACACCTCAAACTGCAGTCCAAGAGACCCAAGAGCTTTGAAGGGACTTGAGCTCTAGGCACTGAGTCAGAAGCAAGAATGTGAACCCTGGAGTTTTTATTGGGGTTCACCAATTGTGTGCCACCATTACTGTTCTCCCTGTGCTCACTTTACAACCCCCAGGGAACATGGTGTTCTGAATGTGCCATCCCAGTGACCTGGAATTCCCACCATCAGACCTGAGCATGACCCCTTGGGTGCCAGCACAACCCACTATCCGCCTTCCCTCCTCCTCAACCTCTTCCTCTCTGTCCCCCCTCCCTCCCCACTCGCTTCACTTTCTCCCTCAACAAGCCTGTGAACATTATCCCTGGTAGCCCATTAAAATAATGGCCAAGGCATACACATTTGCTCAAAGACATAAATAATGTGAATTTTATTCACTTTGTCAACACACAGGGGCAACCAGAAGTGACAGGTCTTGTTTCCCCTGCCATATGAGGGCTGTGCTAAACCAAGGTTTCTTCAGCTTTGCTGAAATTGTTCTCCCTTCTCCTCCACAGCCAGAAGACATTGGACAAGCACCCATCGTGAATGCCCCAGAAGGTGGCAAGGTTGACCTGGAAGCCTTCAGCCATTTTACAAAAATCATCACACCAGCAATCACCAGAGTGGTGGATTTTGCCAAAAAGTTGCCCATGTTTTGTGAGGTGAGGAAATGGCTCTTCTTTCTGGGCCACTTTTCACGATTGTTCCATTGATTATCTAGTGTGCAGGGTATTGTCTAACAGTAATCAGCAGAACGTCACGGGGGGGGGGGGGGGGGGGCACAGTCCGTGTAAACTGAGGATGCCTGCGGGGCTGCAGTTCAGTGGTGGAGCGCATGCATGACCTAGGGTCTGTCCCCAGCACTGTCAAAAGAAAAGAAAGGCCAGTGCTCCAATTATGCCTTCTCTCTTCAGCTGTCATTGAGAGAGAGAGACAATTTGCTTATCAAGTAGGTTGCCATGGTGTGAACTTACATCAATACCACTTCTACAGAATATTCCATAGAGCTGGCTATGCAGTGAAAGACTCTCACTGTCTCTGTAGAGTTTCCCTCTTTCCCACAAGCTCATTCACTTGCCCCTCTGAGGCCTGGGAAACACAACCAGCAGAGCCATGCTTTTCCTCAGAGACACTTCCTCCCTCATTTAGCTCGTCTCCTTCCCCATCTCAGCTCACTTCCTGCCTCATTTTGACAGCCCCACCTTGCAGCAGATGAAAACAGAACCACTGCAGGGTGTAGACAAGAACCCTAACCATGTGTGTTGGTGTCTTCTGGCTTGAGTCACATCACCCTTATGATGAGACTTGTAGTGGTGTCTTTCCATCGTAGCCAGAGCAGAAGGCCAGAGCAGTGGCTGAGGGTAGGAACTGAGAAGGCAAAAGCATTTGTCACCTTCTGACCTTGGACATTTTTAAATTAACATTTATGAGCATCCCAGACAAGGAAATAAAATAGTACCTGTTCTAGTTTCCTTTCTGTTGCTATGGTGAACATGATCAAAAGAAAGTTGGAGGAAGAAAGGGATTATTTGACTTACACTTGGGGAAAGTCTGGGGAGGAACTTGAGGCTGGGAACCATGAAGGGACACTGCTTACTGTTTCACTCACTGGCTCATATTTAACCAGCTTCTCACAGGCCAGGACCACCTGCCTGGGGAACAGTGCTGCCCACAATGGGCTGGGCCCTCCTTCATCCATTAAAAATCAAGGCCATCCCTCATAGGCATACCCACAAAGCAACCTGATAGGAATGGAGACTCAGTTGAGTCTCTTCAGGTGACTGTGTCACATTTACAGATAAAGTTAACAGTGATCATCCACCGCCACAAAGTAGCCCTGCCAACAGTTGGGAACAAATGTTGATCTGCTATACACATACTTACACATGTACACGCACACCACTTAGACATGCACACACACATACACACACACACCACACCACTTACACATGCACACATACATACACACATACCCCACACCACTTACACATGCACACACACACACACTTACACATGCACACACACCCCCCACACCACTTAAACATGCAGACATACGTACACACACGAAATATAAATTTGCTAATACACCAAGCCCTACGTTCTGCTTATAAAACTGTTCTTTAGCATTTTATTAGAGAAATGGGCCTAACTATAAGGATTCATCTCATAAACATACCGAACCCCATAACAAACACCAAGAATTAGAAATGCTGAGAGCCCCTCAGCCCAGGGTACCAGGTTCTTCTCAATGGCAGGGTATCATTCAAAAATCCTTTCTCAAGGTGAATTTGATGGCCACATGGCATTCCAAGAATCTGCCCCAACATCTTCTGGTCTCATTCTCATTGGGCCTTCCATCCGTTTCCCTTTTTCACTAATAAAACTGGCCGTGGTGAATGTTCTGATGACTGTGCCAGGCTAACAGCACCCTTTCCTAAGGGTGAGTCCCAGGTAGGCAAATGAAGGACCAGAGAGTTCTTTCACCTCTTAATGTCCTCAGTGTGTGTGCCTGTCTGCCAGGAACCTGTGTACCCTGGCTCTTACTGAGTCTGCCCCTTGCCCTTTTCATTTGTTGGGCTGGTCCTCTGTTCTTGGCTTTCCTCCCCTTTCTTCCTTCCTCCCCTCTCTCTCTCTTTCTCCCTTCCTCTTCCTTCCCTTTCCCTCCCCCCGCCACTGTGTGTGTGTGTGTGGTGTGTGTGTGTGTGGTGTGTGGTGTGTGTGTGTGTGTGTGTGGTGTGTGTGTGTGGTGTGTGTGTGTGTGGTGTGTGTGTGGTGGTGTGTGTGTGTGTGTGGTGTGTGTGTGTGTGTGTGTGGTATGTGTGTGTGTGTGGCGTGTGTGTGTGGTGTGTGTGGGGGGGGGTGTGGTGTGTGTGTGTGTGTGTGTGTGTGTGTGTGTGTGTGTGTGTGTGTGTGTGTGTGTGTGTGTGTGGTGTGTGTGTGTGGTGTGTGTGTGTGGTGTGTGTGTGTGTGGTGTGTGTGTGTGGTGTGTGTGTGTGTGTGTGTGTGTGTGTGTGTGTGTGTGTGTGTGTGTGTGTGTGGTGTGTGTGTGTGTGTGTGTGTGTGTGTGTGTGTGTGTGGTGTGTGTGTGTGTGTGTGTGTGGTGTGTGTGTGGTGGTGTGTGTGTGTGTGTGTGTGTGTGTGTGTGTGTGTGTGTGTGGTGTGTGTGTGTGTGGGTGTGTGTGTGTGTGGGTGTGTGTGTGTGTGTGTGTGTGTGTGTGGTGTGTGGGGGGGTGTGGTGTGTGTGGTGGTGTGTGTGTGTGTGTGTGTGTGTGTGTGTGTGTGTGTGTGTGTGTGGTGTGTGTGTGGGGTGTGTGTGTGGTGTGTGTGTGTGGTGTGTGGGGGGGTGTGGTGTGTGTGTGTGTGGTGTGTGTGTGTGTATGGTGTGTGTGTGTGTGTGATGGTGTGTGTGTGTGTGGTGTGTGTGTGTGTGGGTGTGTGTGTGTGTGTGTGTGGTGTGTGTGTGTGTGTGTGTGTGTGGTGTGTGGGGGGTGTGGGGGGGTGTGTGGTGTGTGTGTGTGTGTGTGTGTGTGGGGGTGTGTGTGTGTGTGTGTGTGTGGTGTGTATGTGTGGTGTGTGTGTGTGGTGTGTGTGTGTGGTGTGTATGTGTGGTGTGTGTGTGTGTGGTGTGTGTGTGTGTATGGTGTGTGTGTGTGTGTGGTGTGTGTGTGTTGGCTACAGGTCATAAAGGCAAAGGAATTTTGTTGATTTTAAGTTGGCCACTTGAAGCTAGCCTGCCAGTCACACAGCAAGTGCTCTTCCAATGACCACCAGAAATGTTAGTGTTCACTTTTTAATATAAAATCTGTATGAATCACTGAAGAGATGTTTGAGATAATTTATAAAGAAGGAAAGACAAAAGACTCTACCTCCACTCACAGCAACCAACATGCACTTTATTCAATGGCATGGGTAAAAAGCTGCTTGGAACTTTCCAATCCAGGGCTGTAGCAAGCTTACCTTTCCAAGTTCCTGACAGTAATATAACATATTTCACCATCAGAATTCCATCTCAAATTTTCCAAAAAAGAAGAATTTTTACAGCATGTTATAAGTGTTTGGGGTTGTCTAGGCCTCTACTATATGTTTTCCTCTCAGAAATCCAAAAGAAGAAGATGAATGTTGTGGGCCCTGAGCTCCTTACAGAGGGAATGAACATCTCAGGTGGGGATATTGGCAGAGGCAGTTTAATGCATCTGCCATTTGAACTCTGCCTGTGGTTCTTACTCTGCAAATATCCAGACAACCCCCCAAAGTGGCTGGTAGTACACCAGGGCTCTGTGAGGACTGGTGTCAGAGCTGCTTCATAAGAACCCCTGCTGGAGTGTGTCATCTTACCATCAGCCAGATGATCTTCCAAGCAGACAGGAAGACTCAGGGCCACTGTGACTGCCTGTCAGGTGGCTTTTGGAAGTTCTCACAGTGAGAACATTGTGGCTTGTGCCTCTGAGGTGTGTGCCCACATACTTACAGATCTCATCAGGATCCTGCAGACCTCTTGGAGGAAAAGGCATCTGGCTCAGTTTCTAAACCACTGATGATGCTTTGCTAGTGCTTCTTTTAGCTGAGTTTGAACCAGTCTTCGGCACTTTATCTATAAAGGCTTGCTGACCTGCCCAAGTTCACAGACTCCATAACATGGGAAAGAAAATAGCTGGCTTTATCTAATTAGAAATTTTGCAATGCTGGGGAGTGGAGATGAATGTAGCTTTTCTGGTAGAGTGCAAGCCTAGTTCTGGGTTCACCCCCAGCACCACATAAACTAGGCAGAGTGGTGGTGCATACCTGTAATCCCAGCATCCATATCTCAAGTTCAGTATCAGCCACATAGGGGGTTTGAGCCCAACTTGACTCTGTGAGACCCTGTTCCAAAATAAGAAAGGAAGAAAAGAAGGGAGAGATGGAGGACAGGAAGGAATGAGAGGAATGTGGGGGGAGGGAGATTTCCTATTACTGCTGAATGGTTCTTCTCAAGAGTGGGCTCAGCAGGTAGTGTGGGCATTACCTGGGATCTTGGGAGACACTGAGGCAGGACCCACAGGCTGCTCCTGGGGAGCCCACAAAGAATTGTGGGGGAACTGAAATGGATTCACTTTGTTCTCTCCAGCCTGTCCCCCTGCTGTCTGTAACCAAGCCCAGGCTTCCCACCTCCAAGAATTCGATTAGGAGTACAAGTCAGGACCTAAACAAAAGCAAGTCTCTGAGAACAATAATAGACTTGATAGGCATCGATGCCCTTTTCTGGTAGAGAAGTAAAAGCACTTTAACGCTGAATGGTACTGTGACTGGCTGAGTGTGGACTGCTCAGGGTCTTCCACACAGCTCAGTGGGATTGCTTTTAGTTTCAGAAAATAACTGGACTAGTCAAGAGTTCCCATCTCCAGAAAGAAGCTGCACCAGTTACAAGGACAACTTCGACATTAAGTTCAATTTGCATATTCATTGTTACAGAAATTTCATCATAGCTTAGGAATTGAGAAATGTGTGTTGGCCTTGAATAGAGCTAGTTTCAAATCCCAGCCTCGTCTACAAAACATCCCTGTGCCACCCACATACTAGCATGGTACACTTTGAGTGCCTGTTTTTTACACGCATGAATGAAACTGGACTGTCCCTCCCTGTACTACTGTGAAGTGTAACTAAAATGACTGTGTGATCTTGGCATGAAACCCAAGTTGTAACAGTTATTCAGACCTTTTCAAATGATTCAACACTGAATTCTTCTTGAACTTTCTCTCCAACCCCAACAAAACACAAATTTCTGTTTTTACTGTTTTGCCACACTGAGTTCTGCCATAAAGTTTTATCAGCCTTTTGTCATAAAATCTAATTTTGACATGGTGACCCAATGACCTTTAAATAACCTGATATCTGAACAGAAAGATCTTATTTGTCCATCGACTCTGGTACCTATCACCAAGATTAGAAACATGGGAGCCACGACCAGGACACCCGAATTCTGCCTTACCTCTGCCCTTGGTTTGCTGGTTTGACCATGAGCAAAGCTTGTGTATCTCCAGGCCGCCTTGGGCACTCGCATCTGGCTTCAGCCTCCTAGTTTTGTTCCTCCTGAGATACTTGGAAGTAAATCTCTTTCAAAAAAAAAACAGAACAGCATGGCTGCCAGCTGAGCAGAGCAGGCAGAATATTACAGAACTACCCAACAACAAAAAAGATGAGGCCTGAACCACGCTCAGCGCCACTTTCAAGAAGAACTACAGTACAAACTCTCAAATACAGGGGTGACTAACAGAGGCCTCTGTGTGACTGTAACACCGCGGGAGACCTGTGGTAAAAGAAATGTAAACTGCTGAGATTAGGGTTTCTAAAGCGGTGGTTGGCTGCTGAGATGACTCAGCAGTTAAGAAAGCTAGCTTCTCTCCCAGAGGACCCAGATGCAATTCCCAGCACCCACCTGACAGCTCACAATTAACTATGCCTCTAGTTCTAGGGGATCCAATGGCCCTTCCGGTTCACAGACATAAGTACAAGAAAAACACCCATATACATTAAAAAAAAAAAAAAAATAGTCGAAGTCTGGGCATACTGTTAGATACCTGTATGTAGTCTCAGCATTCAGGAGGCAGAGGCAGGAGGATTGCCACAAGTTTGAGGCTGGTTAGTCTGATTAGTGAGCTCCAGGTCAGCCAGCACTCCCATAGGAGACTGTCTCAAAACAAATCATTAGAAGATGGTTGTAAGCTTCCCCCAGGTAGAGAATGAAGGCTCAGGTCAAAGAGGTCACAGTTGCTCTGCCCACACAGTGGCCAGCGCTGGTCTTGTTCTGTGCTGATGTGTGCGCCTCTTTGCAGCTGCCGTGTGAAGACCAGATCATCCTTCTCAAAGGTTGCTGCATGGAGATCATGTCCCTTCGAGCCGCTGTGCGCTACGACCCAGAGAGCGAGACTCTAACCTTGAACGGGGAAATGGCAGTGACACGAGGCCAGCTTAAAAATGGGGGTCTTGGGGTGGTGTCAGATGCCATCTTTGACTTGGGCATGTCTCTGTCATCTTTCAACCTGGATGACACGGAAGTTGCCCTGCTTCAGGCCGTCCTGCTGATGTCTTCAGGTGAGTGTATGGAGTCAGTGGGTGTGAAAAGCGCTTCAAGGGTCTGGTGCTAATGCAAATCATTTAATGGGTGTTGTCTGTATTCCATTAGTTAGCTTTGGAGTCTTAGCTGGATCTCCTTCAGCAAGAAACTAGAGGGGTCAACAGACAGGGAACCGAGTGCAGGGTAGCTAGAATCTGATGCTGAATAATTCTGACTGGCCTGAAACCCCCCTGGAGTCCACACTGGTCTCTCCCTCCAATGCTCTTTGAACCTGTTTATGGAAACAGTCATAGCTGTGGTATATCAGTGTGTGTTCCCGTGGCATTGGACTCTGACAGAGCTAGCTTCATATCCTTGCCTCTCCCACAAAACCCACCCACTTCATATGAAGCCCCAACCAGCATGTTATCATCCAGCTCCCTGTGTTTGCACATCTCTAAATAAAGTTGAAATTAGAATATTTACCTCATGTATTACTGTGAAGGTTAGCTAAGGCACTGTGTAAATCTTGGCATGGTGCCCAGGTCAGCTAGGGGAAGTGAGGGAGGAGCAACGGAAACCCTATGAAATGGCTCTCTTAGGACAGAGGAACTCACCCACCCTTTCCAGCCTCAGGCTTCACCCATGCTAAGTATGGACATGAGTGACAGCACCACCCTGTAGAATGCTGGCTCAAGTCTTAGTTTCCTCCTACTGTATAGCACACCAATCCAAAACCAAGTGCCAGCCGTTGACGGCCTACACCTTTTATCCCAGCACACAGGAGGCAGGCAGATCTCTGGAATTCAGGGCCAGCCTGGTCTACACAGAGATTTCCAGGACAGGCTCGAAAGCTACAGAGAAAAACAAAACAAAGAACTGCAGCTGAGCCGTGAACACCTATAGAGGCCTCTCCTAACAGCCCTTCCTCTGCAAGAATACTTAGACTTCTTATGTGCTGGGTCCCAAGGGGGAGGAATTCAAGCATGTGAAAGCAAAAGCTCACCAGACTTAAGTCCCACAGCATCCCTTCAGCAACATTTACCAAGGAGTCCTAGCTCCAGCCAGCACTCAACATTCTAGCTCACCAGTCACCCCACCAGGGAGGACATGATGCTCTCTTTAATCTGCCATCATATTTTTAACCAAGCTCAATTGCCTCTCAAAACTCTAGCTCCCAGAAGTGAAGGTGTCATGACAGAGCTGACACTATCCTGTTTTTATTTATGTCATAATAAATAAATGCAAAACACACTGCATTATTTAAGAGAAGCTAGCTGGTCTTGAAATAAAGAAAATTACTTCAGGCTATCTTCTTCATTTCAGAATATAACTTTATTTACTTAGTACTTGTCATTTTGTTCTGTCACTATCTGCTTAACTTTCCTATCGATCGCTCTGGTCTAGTTATCCTTTAGGTCATAGATGTGTCTAATCAGTGTTCAGTAGACTCCAAAAATTGTTTATTGGATATGTGGCTAAATACAGAGCCACAGATCCTGGGTCACAGACACCTTGAGAATTCTTCTTTATTGAGCTGAATCTTGCCTAGTACTTTTAATCTTGTCTAGAAACTCATTCCCTACAGACAATTTAGGTATGGAAGGTATATTAAAAGCAATAATATTTCAAATTATTTTTGTGGAAATTTTCAAATACACTGAGCCCTCTTGGTGACTTGGGAGAAACTCCCGGGGACTCCGTTTTCCCAATATCTGCTGTTCTCATCCTGTGTAACCCCCTTCCCTGTGCCTTCCTTTTAACAACTAGAATCCAGCAAATTCAGTGTTACCTCATATGATTCTACACGTAACATGAATTATTGCTACTAGACTTATTCTACAGGAACCTGCGTGGTTTCATGAGAGTTGGCATACATCAGGAGAAAGCTCAGTGTACAGCTGGTATCCAGGCTATAACCAGTGGCCACTTTTCCCTGAGTCCTTCATGAAATACAGAGTACTCAGAGAAATAAAATTTGGAGCCCCTCTATGGGCTGCCTTTGTAATACAGCCTCTCTCTAAAGTGACCCCTTAAAATAGAAATTGTATGTATGTGGGAAATACAGTCATGGAGGGAATAAAAGCAAGTTTTAGCTAAGTCATTATTGGTACAAAGACACGTTTTAATAATGTTGATTTACGTGAGGAGAAAGTTATTTCTTCTGACTGTGTGCCCTAAGTAAGTCTCAGAGAGAGAGAGACAGAGAGAGAGTCTAATCTTAATACCTCTGCAATACTTGCTCCCCTGTTTTTAACAAGGAAATGCTCAAGGGCACAAAATCTTCAGTAAGAACCTTTGCCTTTAATGAAGGAACTTTTATTATTTAATAAGTTTTTCTCCATGTATTTGTTTTCACGATTATCATCTGTTTATGAAAAATGAATTGTATTACTGTGTAATAAGACATTTCCTCTGGAATACCAGATCTACCCAGCAGTGCACCACCCCCTCCAGAGCTACCCATTTCAGCACCCCACCCCACCCCACCCCCTCCAGAGATACCCATTTCAGCACCCCACCCCATCCCCTCCAGAGCTACCCATTTCAGCACCCCACCACACCCCCTCCAGAGATACCCATTTCAGCACCCCACCACACCCCCTCCAGAGCTACCCATTTCAGCACCCTACCCCATCCCCTCCAAAGCTACCCATTTCAACACTGCCCCCCACCCCCTCCAGAGCTACCCATTTCAACACTGCCCCCCCCAACCCCTCCAGATCTACCCATCTCGACTGTCAACTGGCCTCTGGTATTCTACCATCCATGCTGCATTCTCCCCATTTCTGGGAGCAGTGAGGTCCCCAGATCTGGAACTGCATCAGACAAGCTCCCTCCTTCCACTTCTAAACTTATATCCATCTTCTTCCTCCCCTCAGATCGCCCAGGGCTGGCCTGTGTTGAGAGAATCGAGAAATACCAAGACAGTTTCCTGTTGGCCTTTGAACACTATATCAATTACCGAAAGCACCATGTGACACACTTTTGGCCCAAACTCCTGATGAAGGTGACAGACCTGCGGATGATTGGAGCCTGCCATGCCAGCCGTTTCCTCCACATGAAGGTGGAGTGCCCCACAGAGCTCTTCCCGCCTCTGTTCTTGGAAGTATTTGAAGACTAAATGGACTGGACAGGTTCTTGTCATTCCTGCATCGCTACTGGATGTCCTTTCATTCCACCTCTAGCTCTTTTTGTTGTGGTTTCCTTGTTTCTTTGTGTTGGGTAGGATCATCAGGGGGTCAGTGGGTCATCAATGGCATAGACTGGGATGAAATTGTCTCTTGAATGTGGGTCTTTGTAACTGTTGCATTTTGTTCTCCAGTCAGTGTGAATGCTTTGGAGGGTTTACAACAGTGGAGATTGAGTAGGGGACAATCATTAATCTCACCAGCACCAAGCCATCACCAGCTCCCATCTGTCCCTGGTCAGCAACTCAAGCAAGCTAAACGGTACTGTAGAAGACTAAAGAAGCCTTAAAACCAAGACCACAGTCATCTTGATCCAGTTCTGATGTTTGCAGGGCGAAGCTGGCAGAGCATGCCCTCCCATCCCCCCCCCACACACACACACACATGTGGCTTTCGGCATGTAAGGGTTGGAAGCAGATGCTACTTACTCAGGAGCTCAGTATTTTCAGCAGCACCCCTATTCTCCAAGCATCATGACTTGGAATGTGTGGGAACAGTCACACCATAACAAATCAGCTTTCCTTTCCATGGCCTTTTGTGACCTTGTGATTTACTTCACATTGGACAAGTGTATGACGAAGTCATGCTGGTATTTGACTAGTTTGAGGCCACAGGGAAAGTCTTTCACTTGACATGCCCACAGAGTTTGGAAATCTTCATCAATGTTACAAGCATAGCTTCCCAAATGCAAGTGGTATTACCTCAAGCAGGCGGTGTCTTCACAGCTTGGATAGATTCATAAGCCATTCCCACAAAGCTCAAGCCTGTTTACAGAGTGCTGCCCCTCTCCGGTGGCCTATGACCAGTCCTTTCCCCAGCTCACAAAGGTCTTTATCCAGGTTGTCAGTTGAGCTGATGACATTTCCCTAGGGGTTAGATCTTCCAATCAGGGAGGGAGACACATGTTGAAGTTCTAATCTTGTTTGGAAAAAATCCCTGGGAAAGATCTCAGTGCAGGAACATTCTGATTCAAAGCAAATGCACTACTCATGGGTGTAGGCTGTGCCATGGCTGGACGATGCTTTACCCAGTCTTGGATACAGATTCACAAATATCTCCCACCCCCACCCCCCAATACCCTCCACCTCCCTTCCATATTCTTTGGCACTAAACAGCTCGACTGTCTCTAAACACTAATTCTTCTGTATCTTATACATCATTACACTGGCAAATAGTCCTCATAAAACAACTGCAGACCACACATAAGAACACACTGTTACCTTTGCTGTCTAGCCCTACCCCTAATGACCAGCATAGAGTAGATGTTCCTGAGAAAGCAGTAGTGACAACTTCTCTGCAAACGGGTAAAGAATGTACCCATGCAACTGAATGTACCCATTCTTCACTGACAGAGCAGATATGAACTATCCCTTTGCCTGCCTTTCACTGCCTTATCCTGGAAATATTGGGGAACACAAGCCATATCAGCAAGAGTTACCTAGAAGCAAAGGAGAGCAAGTCACTGTGAAAAGTGAGAACACTCACTTGCTTTCATTAGGCTTGGGGGGAGCATCCTTGGCCTCCCTGGAAGTCAAGGCACCTGACTTCTAATTTGTGCCCTACAGCCTGGTCAGTTTAGGAATTCACAGTTTCAATTTTCTTACTGGGTAAATAAGTCATTCTCCTTAAGTCCTTCTTATTTTCTCTGTTGTATGATTCTCCAGTAAAGATGGGGAGGGGGGATTCTTCAAAGATTCCTTTCATATTCAAAGGTGTAGCTTTATCAGACAAAAAACAAGGCCCATTCACAATTAAAGAATGTATTTGGCTTTTATTCAAAATGAGAATTGACTCAGAGGAAGGCAAAATGGCCTTGGAAGTCCCCAGAGCCCATGAAAGTAGCCTAGGGAGAGGGCATAAAAGTGCACTAAGCACTTAGACTTCCCGGGTAAAGGAAACAACAAGGCACTGTAGACTTGGTGTAGAGATTAAAATAGAAGCAAGAAGCTCCATAGATTCATGATCAAACATCTGTCAAGGGTTTACTTTCTCAGGCAGCCTCCTCCCTCACAAACTTCATTAAACATCTGTTTCCTCTGTCAGCTCTCCTGGAGAACCTCTGTCCAGGCAATCAAAACAAGCTCGCTGAGAGGCAAGTTCTCCTTCCAAAAGGAGAGAGGGAAGGCAGCAGGCGAGTCCTGTACAGGTGCATGGACTTTTGGGACACCAGAGTTCTGAGGAAGTTTCCAGATTCTGGCCATGTCCAAAGGACCTCAGACACCAGGATTCCAGCGTTAGTGCAGGGTTTAGATCAGGGTCATTCAGAGTCCTGTAGGGGATTTTAGCTATCACTGGAAACTAGCCCAATCCTGGGCCAGCCAGCCAGCCCCAGCTCATGATCCTCGCCCTGTAAAGGCTCACCTTCAAGGGGCAGGCCCTGCTCTAGCAAGCATGTTGAAGGCTGAGCATTCGTACTGAATAAGATATGCAAGCTTCAGTCTTCTGGTGGGAAGGAACTGGAACACCAGGAAGTCAGAATGACTGAAGTCATGCCCTCCTCTGGGAACTTCTTTCTGTGAAACTAGATTGTGAGCGATTGGCTCCCAATCTTTTTCTTTTCTTTTCTTGTCCAGACTTTCAAATCAAGTGTGGATGTGATAGGGGAAAACCTTCAAACCTGCCCCACTGTCAGGGGGAGGGGACATTCCAGTCAAGGACAACATGCCCATCCTGCTGGAATGCTCACTTTCAAATCATATGTATGGATGGGAGGGCTGTGCACATGCAACAGACGTGTGTGTGTGTGTGTGTGTGTGTGTGTGTGTGTGTGTGTGTGCACGTGTGTGCATACGTGTTTGCTCCCTCAAGTGTACTTCAGTGTCAATGTGCAGAACTTCCAGAAACTGGAAGAAAAAAGACCGACTTCTATAGATTCTGCTGAAAACACCATGTGCCGCCTCTGAGCTTTTTCTAGTGTGATAAGCCTCAGCCCAGCGCATCCCCCTCCTGTGGTCCCAGTGTCACCTCCATCCCAGTGCAATCTCAGAGAGCCAGGCTGCCTCTGCTCGCTCTGCAGTGCGCTTCTCACGTTAACCTGCAGGCGCCAAGCCTTGATCTCACACTCAGCCCTCCCCAACCCAGCCTCACGACCTGCTGGGCCTCTTCAGAGCATGTCATTGTCAGTAAGACATCTTCATTCTGTGGGACTCAAACCTATCCATGTCATATTGACCTTTTGCTGCATGAGTCATAAATTATGAAATCAGTCTTACGGTTTTCGAGATGTAGCCAGCATTTTGTAAGACTAAATCTTTTCCATGAACTTAATTTAAGTGAATAACCAAACCACAGGTCCTCCTCAAAATAAGAGGTGACAGACAAGTGAATCTCTTTATCCTTTCCAATGGCGATGGCATCAGGTCCTAAAATAAGCTCATAATTTCCTGTTATTTTAATAATGTGGAAATATTAGCATTGTGTTTCTTTTGATAGTGATAGACTGATCCATATTTAAATTTTATAGAGAAGAAATTTTATTGTACTGTGATGTAGATATTTATTATCCAGGTAAGGATTTGCCCGGTGTGTATTTTTTACAATTGAAACATTTTACTTTAATCTTTAAAAAAAAAAAAGAAAAAACCACACACACACATACAAAAAAAAGGAGAGAGAGAGAAAGAGAGAGACTAGGAAGAAAAAAGGTTTGGCCTTATCACAGAATTTTTACTGTGTTGTATAAATGTTTGCAAATGAAAAATTACACATTTCTAGTGTGTTTCCACATTAGTTAACGCCGCCTTCAGGAGCAATATTGTGCAGGTAAACACTGATTGTGGCTTTCTGTTGCACAGCTCAAGCTGACCCACCTTATGCACAAGACAATCAAATGTGAGTCTTTCCTCTGAGAATGCAGACAGTGCTCAAGAGGGCACAATGTGAGACAAAGCAAGAGGCTGTAGGCAGGCAATGCACTGATGGGGAGAGGTGGTCAGGGCACGATGCCACTTCCTCCCTTTGGTTGCTCCTTGTGACTTTGGCGTCTCTCACCTGACGTCATATAGCCAAAGTAGTTCTCCATGCTTTCTTCAGAAAAGACGACTCTCTTTTCCATAATGTTTCATGCCCTGGGAAATCAGGAAAAAAAAAAAAAACAAATGGTACAAAATAGAGAGGTTTACAGTCAGTGGAGGATTTGTGTTTTGCAAACAATGTTAAGGGATATTGCTAGATTGGTAATATTTTTTTCAGCCTAAAATTGTTGAAATCTGTGATCAAAATGTTTTAAACTATCCAAAAAGAAAATTTGTATATTTGGGGAAAATGGATTTTTACATAGCTTTTGTATGCAGATATTAAATTGTAATTATGAATATAGTGGGCATAGATACTCATAAGCTTAAATTCTAAAAAAGAAAAAAAAAGAAAAAGCTTACAATGGATATACTTGCCTGTCTCTTTCTTTAAATATTTCTGGATAGAAGGACTGCCTGCTCATCCCACCTTAGCACTAAGGCAGTGAAGGAATCCTGAATACAAGGTACATCTATTGAGGTGATCAAGTTCACCTTTGGGAAGCATGTGGAGGGAGGGGAGATACACAGACTGACTGACATCATCAAATCACCCAGCAGAAACCTAAGGAAGCTTCATTAAAGCACTCAGGTGGAGTTCTCAGAGGAGCCTGTGCCTTAGAACAATTACCACCATAAAGATAGCAGCATCAAATCGGGCTTGCACACTGGAAAAACCAATGGGGAAGTTGAGGCAGTCAAGGAGAGCTTTTGATTAAACTTTCTCTCCAAGACTGACTTCCCACAGCTAAACTCCGGCTTCTGTTTCCCACTGTGCATGCTTCTCTACCACTGGATGAGCTGTAGCTAAGTCTTTTGATTTTGAAATGATGCCCAAGAGTGATTTATCTCCCAGCTGTGTTTAAGGACTCAGGTTTTTACTTTACCCTCCTGTGTCTCAAGGACATGGTAATTTCACTCTTAGGCTGCCTATCCCCAGACAAGGAACCTTGGAGGACTCTTTGATATAAGCATGCTTGGGTCTGAAAGAGGGGCCACCCCACAGAACAGGGAGTGGTTCAATCAAGGAAAAAAGGTTTTCCTGAATATTCTCTGATGCTTTGTAGAAGTCAGTGGAAATGTTTCTTCCCACGTGAAACATCAC